AAAAAAAAAAAAAAAAAAAAAAAAAAAAAAAAAAAAAAAAAAAAAAACCCAAGAAAAAGAAATCTACCAGTAATAACAACAAAAATAACAAACAATAAGAATAACAACAATAACAGGAAATCCACAAATTTCAATACAACTAATTTCAAACAAATCTGCTTCTTCTCCTATATACTTTGCTTTACATTTACTATTTAAAAAAAAAAAAAAAAAAAAAAAAAAAAAAAAAAATATAATATTAATTATAAATAATAATAAAAATAATAATAACAATAACAACAAAAACAAAAATAAGAACAACAACAATTATAATAGTAACAATTCACAATAATGTATTTTCTCTCTACCATCACTCTTTACAACTACAACAAATATAAATAAATGCTATCTATGATCATCACTCTTTACAACTACAACAAATATAAATAAATGCTATCTATGATCATGAGAGTAATAAGCAAATGAGCATTAAAAGCATGAAATCGCCAACGAGATATGATTTTGCGAATCAAACTTCAATTAAGATCTGAATTTCTTTGAGTTTCGATTAAAAATATTATCCACATATGCATATGTGTGCGTGTACTTGTGATATGAAGTATGCATCCAACCATTTATTCGCTCGTCTAATGTCTCTCTCGTTCTCTATTTCTCTCTCTCTCTCTCTCTCTCTCTCTCTCTCTCTCTCTCTCTGTCTCTCTCTCTCTCTCTCTCTCTTTTTACTACATTCATACATTCATTCACGAATTCACGCCATATTTTATTGTCATCATCGTATAATCTTTGCTCCGACATTTTGGATATGTTTTTGCATTAATTGCATCTAATTCAATGACACGGTACGTTGCTTCTTTATCTTTAACTCGACACCTTAATTATCAATGTGTCACACCTACGTCCATTTATAGCACTTGATCATGTTGAATGCAAATTGATCTTTTGTACTTAATCCTGATTATCATATATAAGTTATGTACATTTTTTTTTTTTTTTTTTTTTTTTTTAGCCTTAAATACATAAGCGTTCAAATACATACGTATAGATATGAATGGGTCGATTTCGTTCTTGCGATTATCATTAGCGACAATTGGCCAATAATACGATACGATACGATACGATACGATACGATACGATACGATACGATACGATATTTCCTTGCAATCAATAAATTGGAGAAGCGGAAAAGATCGCAAGATCGAAACTACTTATGGTGTAAAGCTTAACATAATTGAATTATTCATTTAAATATTTTACAATGGCTTTCACAATTGAATATAGATCCGATATTCGATGATTGTGGACAGATGGAGATGGATGCTCGTTTAGATTATCTCTGATATAAGCAAAATTTTACATAAGTATACAGTAGATGTCGGCATACTATTCATTTGAAACTTTTGCATTCGATATTTATTATAAACATTGTTTTTGTATCGTTCCGATGCAGTAAGTAGTCAGTCTTCAAGAGAATTAACAAAAAAAAAAAAAATAAGCAAAGGAAAAAATTGAATTCATCCAGATTTTCTGTTTTATTCTAAAGGCATAACAAAGTACAAAGTACAAGTACTTAGCTACAAGTCTTCATAAGGACTTTCATATACGGTGGCTAAAGCAATCGCAAATATCTTGGAGCAGTTTTAGACATGTATCTCACTCGCTTCTTGTATACAAGAGGCTATGTACAGGCGACTACATGGATCGCTCGCTCGCTACTTTTTTGCTTCAGCTAGCTCGAGAGGGCGTTCGAAATTTCTCCGTCGAAATTTCTTTTTCTATCCTTTCATTATTTGTTTAGTTTTACTAGATTCTTTTACACGGAGCTACACGAACTCTTGGGCAATTCTCTTCGCGTGAAACTTTCTCCACTTCTCTTTCGATTTTTACTTTGAATCTTGAGCTAGCGATGAGTTCCAGTTTGAATTCAAAAATATGCGCGACAGCAAGCAAACTAGAAGAGTCGCTCATCGATTTTGTCGAATCAGGTCAGATACATATATTGTCATTAAGATCATTGCTAAATCTATATATAGACAGATAAGAGACTTTTTTCACTTTGTTTCTGATAATGCAACGTCTTTACCGATTCAATGATATATTACGGATTTCATTGCAACTAAAAATCGGAGATCGCTTGCGATTTGTTGAAAGAATGGCCAACCGGCAGTCGCCACTCAAATTGGTATGGCGTAGCTTTTGTTTGCTCCATGCTCCACGCTACCTTGATACTCATCATCACCAAGCATCAAGCATATTATTGTTAAAAGTAGAAGCCTGTTTTACGTAAGCTTCTTGTTGCATCTGTTTTTATTAACAAAATCACTGAACCGAAAAGTAGCTCTACAGCTGTGGATATGCTAGCATCGCAAGCTTTACTCGTATTGTCTTCATCTAAAACCGTCTTATACGCCTACAAATTTAAGTCTTTACGCAAAAAATGCCTAAAATCCGTCACACAGTTGTGTCGAATTTCCGTGAAGGTCACCTAGAAGATGTCTGCGACTATAAAGTGACAATGTTCTCTACATTGCTCGAATATCAAAGATACGAACTTTTCTACCAAACTTATGATTCGTTTTCGCATCGTACTGGACTTGCAGCATAAGCGTAGATCAACTTTATACGAATGTATACAACACCTAAGCTGGTCTGTCCATGTGTCCATTTGTCTCTCCACTTTTATGCTCAACCTATAAGGCCGCAATTTTTGGGATATTTTGATGAAATTTTCTCTATCGACCGCGTGTCTCGGCCCTCAAGGGTGAGTGCTATTGAAAATATTAGGATCGAATCATTTGTCACGCCTTGTTTTTAAAAGGTTCGTTCAATGAATAACTACTGCATTAAGTGAAGAGTGAACTTTCGTTTATTTCAAATTCGGATAATATGCGAACGTCAATGAAGCTTATGCTGTATGCATCTATGATTGATCCCCGGTAGCCCTATCTATTACCAATCTGTTATATAAATTGCTATCTGTGCAAGCAAAGCAAGAAATTCATATATTGTTGTTGTAGGCATTTTCAGATACTATAGATTTGACAATCATATTGTATACGTCCCAGGTACTAGTCTCTCTTACAATTCGCTAGAATTTCAGTTAATAATTTTTCTTTTTTTTTTTTTTTTCTTTTCCTTTCTCAATATATTTTACAACATATTCTAGCAAAAGTTTTGTGTGCGATTTTCGTATGCTGCTTATTATGCTTAGTTCAGGTTGAAAGGAAATTGTGATCTCAAATAACTTAGCTAATAGCTTTGAACCGTTATAGTGTTCATTATATCGCGTTAGAGTATCATAGGTTAACATGTCTCATATCATTGTTCGCTATAGACAAAGTGCGAATCAAAGATCCATCGAGTACAAATTGCAAGATAATTTACAATACAATAAATCGGACATTGGATATTTCAATTCCATAATAGATTCTTTATTGAGGAGTAATTTAGCTTGTAGTAGTAGTGGCAGTAGAAAGTCTCTGCCAAGAAATTTTAGTTTCTTGCGGAAATTCTTCGAGATCTTTTACGAGGCGTTATGCTAACAGAAACGAATATCGTTCGCTCGAGAACAGAGAGAAATCAATGAAAAATTATTAGGGCACATAGAACAGCTTCCTTTTAGGTGGGTGAGTGAGTGAACGTGAATTAATGCAACTTCATTAACTTTCAGCTAAAAAGTGTTACGATATTTTTCCGATGTTGAAATGTACATTACAAGGATTTTGTGTTTCAACGACAGCCTAACTTATTCTAATAAGAACTCTAGTTCGGTTTGCTTATGTTTACCTGTTTGTCGGAATTTTATTCAAATCCCGCTGCCGTCACGAAAGCTTTGTCACATTCCTTGCAAATATTATCGCAATCCCGAAACGAAGCTAACGGAGAGAGAAAAGAAAACCATGCATTCTAGATTAGCGGATCGTTACTCGGTTACTCCAATTCGTTATCCGTATCCGTACTTCTTACCTGGTAGCTCGTTTGCAATAATTTTCGCTGGCATAGTGTTAGTTGCAAAAATATATTTCTATAGATGTTTTTTTCCACGTGTGAAATTGTCGAGCACAAGATTTGCTATTCGTATACATTTGTATGCAGTGTCTATGGATAGGCAGAATGAATATTATAAATACGCGATAATGGTTGAATATAAAAATCAAGCTATAAGTAAACAACGTTACGTTACGTTACGTTACGTTACGTTACGTTACGTTAACTTACGTTACCTTTTACAATTAAAATACGCTAATTAAAAGCAGTAGATTAAGTAAGCAGAGTAAAATTAGGAATAAATTTGAAACAACTTATATAGAATTGAGAGAAAACAGGTCGAGTATTAAAATTAAAGGGAAGATGAAATCGGAGACACGATTCTGATGATAATAAATTATTAGCATTATTCGAATAGAAATCCAATTTCGTACAAAAAATTTGCTTTTTTTTTTTTTTTTGCTCGAGCCCATTAATATATTTGTTTACCTATTCGCACTAATTAGTTGTCGTGATTGATTCACGTTTTCTTAAACTTTATAAAATAATGAATATTTTAAATTAATGCGTTACGTGTAATGTTTTATGTATAATGAAAAACCGGTTAACGGTATATTAAATTTCATCGTATATTATATGTAGTTGGTATTTAAGGTTTACCATGCATCTTCTTGTTCGAAATTCAAGAAAATTACTTAATCAACAAAAATGATAGTAAAAATTTTATTTAATTATATATAATGCAAAAATAATCGATCGATTTATAACGATGGGATTATTCATGCCAGAGAGTAAAGAGAACGGCTGGACAGTCGTAAAAAAATATCAAAAAACTGATGTGCGACTGTAACTCCGCGCTTCAAGCACTCCGGTCAGTGAAATCCTACATATATTTTTCTATTATAAATAAATTGTTAAATAAAACACAAACGGTAGAAGTAATAATGTGATAAAAATATTATTCCTTTGTATTTATTAATTTTATTATTCTTAACGTAATATTATCTAATAATAATAACAATAATAATAATAATAATAATAATAATAATAAGATATGAAGACTGCTTGAAAATAATTTTTTTAGAACTAAAGAAAGTTAAGTTGCATTCGCTTCGAAGCGATTCGTCATAAAGTATTTACCATCACCACCTGCGATAAAAATTATTCGCATTTACTTTTCCGCATATCCTTATGTACACCGGGTGAAGGGGGGGGGGGGCCATTACGTAGACGTAAGACTTAAATAATAATAATAATATATGGAATTTTTACGTAACGTCTTGATACGCGGTTTGTTATATATAAAAAAACATTTTTCATTTTTAAATCGTTTAAGTTTAAAAATAATAAAACTGCAAACACAAGTCAAGTTATTACAAATTTTATTTATTTATTTATTTTTTTTTTTTTTATTTCCTTTTTTGCTATTCCCTTTTTTGTGTGTGTTGTTCTTAACGCAAGATGTAACACATCACGGCAACGCAGTTGTCAACCCACATCCATACGATTTGATTTCTCTGCTAGTAACAGCCTTCAGACGAAACGTGTTACGTTATGTTTGTAACTTTTTAAGTTCGGTGTCGGAGTCGGAGTGCCCGATTTGCTTATCTGTAACGTTGTATGTGTCTTGCTAATTTTGAATAGAGTCGTACGCGCATCGACCATGTTCAACCTGTTTGTGTTGTGATCATTTTGAAGGATCGAAAATTAAAGTCGCGTGGAGGCAGTCAGTGTATTTAGTACTCTGTTCGAAATGGGTACCGGGTTTGCCCACTTTTGACAACATCACGTTTTACATGGGGAGCGTTGTTTTGTTTTAGGTCAATTAAAAAGGGATTTTTTCGTGCGAAATTTAACAATGAATGATAAATTCATCGCTGAACGTAAATGCCGTGGACAACAAACCGATCCTTCTAAACTAATGATTGGAATTATCATGAAATTTTCACATATCTTGTTTGAAGGCTGGAGCTGTCCAGATATCATAGGAGTTTGTCAACAGTGTTGCCAAACCGGACACTTATTGTGTGATGTGATATATTAGTAGTCATGTTAGTGTGTTAGTATATTGGTGGCTATCGAAAATGTTTCTTAATAAATTAATGTCATCGCCAGATGAAGTTTGACAAACCAAATTTGCTAAAATTTAATTTCCGAAATATTTTGCTGATGAAAGAATTGTAACTAACAAGGGAGCGAAAACGGTGTCATTACCCACTGCAAGGCACAAAATGCATTAATTATGATCGGCACGCGGCCGAGCTGTAGTGAATGCTTGATAGATAAAGGCGTAAGACTCCGATGGAGCGTACACCTTCTAGGCTACCAACAACTCCCCTCTCCCTCTCTTCTCATATTTATCTGACCAACACCGCCATTTATACACATACAGAGCTTATCTCCTGAGGAACGAGTCCTATAGCAAAATTATTACCTGCTTCTGTTATTGCTGCTCAAAGGCAAGGCGCTCGTTTTTTTTTATAAAAAATTGCCTCTAGGTTCTTATGAGAAGAAGTTCACTGGAGCCCATTAACAGAGCGCGTGTAACGTTTAGTGACGCTGAGCAAGACAATACTCATCATCAAAGATGAATGAGATCACGTCGTGGGTCGGTTTCTTCCCCTCTGAATGAAGCAATGATTCTCTCACAACTCAACATCTAGTGCCTCAACGATTTCAGGATAACCCTATCCACCACACAAAACTCCCCGTAAAGTCATAGCCATTTTACATTTCATCAAATCTACATACTGCACATTTACGGGTAGTAATGCTACTTACAACAACTCTACGCGGCTCAAAATTTTTGTAGCCCAATTTGCTAAACCTGGTACCCAGTGCTCGAGCAATAAGGCCTTACGTTATATATTAAACGGCTTAGAGTCATCCTCTTATTCCATACATGTGGAATGCTAATCTTTTCTTTGCCCAAATTTTCAGCGTCTGGCACACTATCGAAGCCTTACTACTTCTTAAATCCATAAGAGTCCACTCATACCAATTCTTCTGATCAAAAGAGCAGTCATCATCATATAGATCTCTCCCGATACACATGTTGGCGCGATTTGAATACAAACATTATTCTTAAACTTGAAGTCGCCATCATTAGTAAAAAATGTCTGTAGTCCCCTCGATCGCCATCAGAGACTAATAATACAATAATGCTACTAAGTTAAGTAACTGATCATACACAAAAACTGAAAGAAGATATAAGCAAAAAGAAAATAAAAGATATAACTGTTCGCCTTGCGCAGCTTTCAAAACAGTTTATTTTACATTTTTTTGAACGATCCTTGTATACGTCATTAAACGAATGTTTCTACGCAAAAATTCCGATCATTTATTATTTGTAATGAAATTCAAAAATTCTGGGTTATTATCAATAACAACTAACTGCGTCTTTCAACAGCGATAGCAAATACACTTTGTTCATGGGTTGTGTATATACCCGAATCCTAAAGTATGGATAATAATCTGGTCTGGTGGTGCTGGTCACGACAACTATACTAATTTTCATATTCACACACCCATACATACAGACACACACACACACACATATATATATATATACTTACATTTATAGCAAATATTTTTGTACCCTTTAAACTAATGTATATTTTTAACATTAATTTTGCTTTTATTCTTCTGCAATACACATACAATGAATGTTTGAAATAAAAATAAAAACGAAACCAATAACGACAACTATGTAAAATGAAAAAAAAAAAAAAAAAAAAAAATGAATAAATAAATAAATAAATGAAACAACAACAATTTAGGCTACGGATGCAGGATATTTCAACTGTCTTTATGTGATTTTACGGAAATTATTCGGTAAATTTTTTTTTTTTTTTACAAAAGAAGTAAAATCTAAGCACATATACACTCAAAAACACAAACACACCCACACCAATGTATATTTATGTATATTTATTTTTTTCAGTCCTCTATACATTTAACAAATATAATTATGTACATGTGTGCTATGTATGTATGTATGCATAACCAACCGCATTATACATCACATACACCATTTACTCTCTATATCTCTGTGCGTCTCTCTCTCTCTCTCTCTCTCTTTCTCTCCGTTTCTTTCTTTCTCTTTCTTTCTCTCCATCTCTTTCTCTCTCTCTCTCTCTCTCTCTTCCCCTTCCTCTTCCTCTTCCTCTTTTGCTCTATCAGACACCACCGTAAACATCTTCACAACACACATTCACAACTTATAAACATGCTATCTATTAATAGCTATTTATTAAAATAGAATCGTTTGCATTTGTATGTAGATAGATATTTTTATATTTGCAAGCCGATATCATTTTAGAGATACAGGACTGAACGTTCTATATACCCAACAAATGTAATGCGATTTAAAAATTTATGTAAATTGAGTATTTTAAGTGCTTCTTTTAACTAATAATTGAACTCACAAGAAGAAAGCATACAGTTTAGATGAAGCATGCAATTAAAAATGAAGGGCAGTTAAGACTAAGACGTCTGAATATGTATGACTCACAGAAAGAATATAGGCACACTGTATACGGTATAGTATCGCAATAGCAATATTTGTCAAGCGGTTCTGACATCTATACCGTATTATTGCAACTTTTTTCAATGCATTCACGAGAGGTTGAGCACTTTGTGATAATATGCCAAACATTATGCTTTCTTTTGGAGAGTGACGAAAACCTCAATTGACGTAATCTAAATTTAGCAAAATTTAATTTTCCTTTTAAGATTTTATTATTGTTCTTGTGTTTTCGTTATAAAAAATTAAAAGTTCTCCCCCTTGATCGCTATGTAAAAGCTTATCTCTCATAAGACTCTTTATTATATGATGACGTGGCATATATATATTGTATTATAAATATTAGATTTATGTGACACAAATTACCAAAACCATTTTGAAGAAGATTCGCCCTTAAGCCGAAACGCAACAGTATAGCAAAAATATGTCAAAATATCTCAAAAAAATTGCGACCCATAGGTTGAATACAAGAACACATGATGTCAGATGTCAGACGGACAAATAAACTTAGATTAATAAAAAAGAGAAGAAATGCTGTTCAATGAATTGATATAAAATAGATAAATCCGTTCAAGATCTTACAAACATCCGCACAAATCGTATGCATCCTTAAGCATAAAAAATAAAAAAATATTTTGTTGAAGGCTCAGTTTTTAACAATTTT